CCCCCCCCCCCCCCCCCCCAAATATGCTCACTGTGGATATTTATGAGTCAAAATGATTAATGTTTCAGAGCATGGGGCTTTGATGTGCAAGTTACCAGTGCTGATCTGAAAAACACATATACATTCCGTATGTGTATTGACTGATAGCTCCCACAGCTATACCAGCCAGCACACCCACGCTCTATTAAGCTGCAGGTAAACCCACGCTTGTACTGAACGTAAATATTTCACCGCGGCTGCACAGCTGGCTATACACACACTTTCTATTTAACCAGCTTCAAGGCTGCTGAGATGAGCATTCACATTGCACTCAGATGTGTGGACCTCTGTGCGCTGTATTTGATTTTACGCCTCGCTAGCACCGTGGCTCTATGGCAATGTCCACCACTTTGGGCCAGACTGAAATTTCTTCACAAATATTGGATGAATTGCCTTGACATGATGTACATTCATGATCCCCAGAGGATTGTGTGATCCTATGACGTTTCCTCTAGCGCCACCCTTAGCTTGGTATATGTGATTCAGAGTGAAATATATCAACGACTATTGAATGGATTGCCATGACATTTTGTGCAGACATTCATGGTCCCCAGAGGATTGTGTGATCCCCTGGCATTTCCCAGGGTGCCACCATGATTTTGCTGTATGTGGTTCAGAGTGAATTATGTCAATAACTGCTGAATGGATTGCCGTGAAATTTGCTGCAAATATTCATGGTCCCTAGAGGATCAATACTAATTACTTTGTGATCCCATGTGCATTTTCCTATAACCTATTCATTCAATACTACAGACATAGTGGACATCTTTCTTCTGTTCCTATCACACCAGTGGTGTGGCTCTAGGAATGGCAATGTTGCTCATTCGGTCCACCACTTTGGTCCAGACTGAAATAGCTCAACAACAATTGGATGGATTGCCATGAAATATGTAAATAAATTGACCTCACTTGAAAAATTTTGCAAATATTCATGGTCCCCATTTAGCTCCATCATCTCAACATCTAGTGAATGGATTGGCACAACATTTTGTGCGTACATTTCTGATTACCCAGTGATGAATCCTAATGAATTTGGTGATCCCTTAACTTGTTCTCTAGCGCCACCATCAGGTCAAAACTTAAATTTGTCAAAAACTAAATATAGTCAGAGACCTGCAAGTATAGCTTGGGCTACACAACAATTGACCTCTGACAGATGCTGCCATACGCTGCTCTGGGTCAATAGGATCCTGGTAGTAAGTCTGCAAGAATCATTTCAATACCTTTACTGAAAAAGTGTTGCAATCGTTGCAAATTCCTACTGCTGCCGGTATGGATGGTTTTGATGCGAAATATTCACAGGCGAGTATTTAGCATTTTTTTTTTGTTTATTTGTCACATCCCCGGTGTGTAAATGCATCAGCATGTTAGCTGATTTCGCTCAACACACCAGCCTTGTTTAAGAGTTTGTGCAATGATGGAGATGCCTTGGTATTCATTGGGGTATTATTGTGACAAAATCAATTTACCCACATTAGCAGTGAGTTACAAATAATGAGTGGTTTTGAAACTAGGAGCCCCCTTTGTGGGGGAATAAAGCTACTGCAGGGAGGATGCCCCGGGGGGAAGAACGTTGACTGGACCTAAATTTGCATGATTATGAACCATGTGGTGACATAAACAAACAAAAATGCTCTGATGCTAGCAAGGCTGTCTTGCTAACCTGAATCTTTTGTTTATTTTAATCAAATTCAACTCGGCTCTTTTCCCACGATAGGGTTAATGATTGACGGAAATAAAACCGCTTTTGCTGGCGAGGTGGTTCACCGTTTTTACGGCTTCTGAAGGACAGCATTACAAGAAAAGAGAGCCAGTGAGTTAGCTGATGGATTACCCGACCAGTATACTGTAAAGTGAGAGCCTTCTGTGTACATAAAGAGTGATTTGTCTCTTTGTCCTTGTGTGTCATTGCACCTTGTCGTTACCACATACTTCATCATGTGTGTCAGACAGAGCAGTGTTAATATTTAATCTGCTTTCTGCATCCTCATATATTTTTGTTTTGACACCCTTATCTCTTAAAGCCATTACTGTAAAGGCATTTGTCAGTTTCCAAAATGCTTTATCTCAGAGTTCAGTCGTTGGCACTCTTTAACTCTATGAGTGTTGTTGCTCATTGGAACCATCCAGTTCCTCTTATATTTCTGACAAACAGCCCTGCTGTTGCCTCTGGCAGTCAAATGTAAGTTCCTGTTGCGGGAGGATTTTACAACAGCCGCTGTAAGCGTTGCGGCTCTCGTGTAGGTTCAATCACGGTGTGAATCAGAGTGAAACAAGACTATATATTTACTGACATGTATATCTTTTGACTCCGCTAACCGCTTCATTCTAAAATGTTTGTTGCAAACAATTAGACAACCCTTTTGATATTAACTGCCATTTTTAAATGTTCTTGTTAATCAGTTTGCAATATCAAGATAATAAGTAATGTTGAAATCATCAAGGCAAGGCAAGTTTATTTGTATAGCACATTTCCACAACAAGGCAATTCAAAGTACTTCACATAAAACCATTAAAAACATCAAAACATAATTTAATAGTTTTAACAATTTAACATAACATTAACCCTACCAACCTTCCACATCTGGTTCATCTGCAATAAACTTAAATAATCCTGCAAATAAGACAACAAGTACTAGCCAATCAGCAGACTAGGGCGGGTTTTAGCTGGCGGGGGAAAAAAATCAATCAAACTACCATAAATAGCAGGCCGCACAACCGCCAATGGCTGTGAAAGAGGTAATTAGGCATGCGGATGAGAGGGCACTTCAACATTTTAAAAAAAACACTCTAGCACACTTATTGCTATAGTGTGCCATTTGCTGTTTTTACATTATTGGAAGGGGGAAAAGTTTGTCTTTTAAATCACCGCAGACCGTTCGGTGCCCCCGTACTGGGGGCACCGAATGACATCCAGCGAGTGTGCTGCTGCTGCTGCTGAGCTTCGCCTTTGGCTTCCTTTGCATATTTCATACGGTGTTTATACAGTAGATGGAGCAAAGGTCATCGCGATCCTCGACAACATAGGCACAAGTGAGTCGGCAACACAGATCTAAGCTGCTATCATATACAACACCACATTCCACTTACAAGGTCTCTTCGTTTAGCAGTAACAATGAGTGACGAGGGAAAAATAGTTCTGTCTGAGCGGGTGGGTGTCGTCGCTACAGTGTGGACAGGAACGGCAGTCAGCCGGCACAGCGTACATAGATAAAGGTGTTCTCCATCTCTTTGATGCCGCGTTCGCTCACACATGTAGACGGGTTAAAAGAGAAATGTAGTGGATCAAAAGAGCTGTCAGCCTCCATCTTTGTGACGGTGCCCATGCGTGGCTGGAAGTCACACTCAAAGTAAAGGACGGCACACGTGTTTGGCAAGATATATCACACGGCAGCTTTGTTGTTGGGATCAAATATGTGCAGCGGCGTGCGGAAATACAAGTGATATTTGCTTTGTAAAACGTATGCAGGCTATAGTTAAAAAGAGAGAGAATACAATGTAATGTTCAAAAGAAAATTAGGTGTTAATGTATATCCTACTGGATTTTGGTAGAGTCCCCCTTGCAGTGGGGAATAGAGGAAACACAGCCTTAAAGGAGAACAACAAAACCTTAAACCAGGATGTTCCACTCGTGGTTTTGGAACGTTCAGCGTAGATTTGTGAACATGTGGAAAGAAAAGTCTCTCACATAACGACAGTCGTGAAAACTATGCACAGCTGCCGTGTGAACGCACCAAAGCTAATTTTGTGGGCATGTTGCCGCGGAGCTGCTCTCTCTATTGTGAAATGAAGCTCATTCAGAAGGAAGGCTTTAACGAACGCTCCACGCGTCAACACCTCCACATGCCAATTTGCCGGAACAAGACAGCCACGTGTGAACAAGAAGTCGTCATCTATGTTTCCGTTTTTGGATGAGGCTGAGATTTCGCACTGTCAGAACAGTGTCAGAACAGGGCTGCACAATGTGTGAACTTGGCAGGTTGTGTGCTTTAAACTCGGTGCTGCTGTACCCAGAGCGTTTTTATTGTTTTAGGCCTTAGGCCAGCTTACCCAACATCCGCAGAGACGTCTGTCAGCAAAGACTTAAAGGACATAGAATTATCCAAGGTTATCCAAGTATACAAGGTTCCTTTATTGTCATGGTACGTTAGGGTTGCGCAGAAACATGCAGTTTATAGTCCTATTTTGTTACATAAGAAAAACACAAAAATATATATAATATGGTGGAGGGTGGAGATATATGCTAATCATATGGAGGATATTGCAGTAGGTTGTTTTAGGTAACATGATTTAAAGCTGCTACGTGTAGAATTTTTATGGGATTATTGTATCTTTGAAATGAAGTTGATGGCATCATTTTGGACAAAAGACACAATCCTGGCAATCTAAATCTAACTATTTTGCCATACTGGTAGCATAGCCCTAGGGATCATTTAGCGTGTGTACACGACACACCGACTTGCATGGCATGGCACCATAGTGTTCGTGCTTTAATGGAGTTCGTGTCACATGCAAAACTAAAAGTAAGGTCGACATTTTGTCACGTCAGAGTTAGTAACGTGAGTCATTGGTGTCATTAGTCATGTGACTGAGTCACTAGTCATTTGAATTTTTAGTCAAGTTAACATCAACCACGCTCTTTTCCTATACCCAACCCAAAAGTGTTTTTGTTGCCAAAACCTAACTTCATGTGAAGATGGGAAGTTTATTTTGAAAAGTTACTACGCATGCAACGAGCGTATATTGCCAAGCTGTGCTTACGCATACTGACCAAGCTGCATTATTTCAATGAAGAATGTGTTCAATTTTGAATCAAGATTCATGGTCCCCACAGGATGACTCCTATCCTAAGATCCTGACTGTTTATCCAGCTCCAGTCAAGTCAAATTTGTAATTTGTAAATTACTTTGGTTTTGAAATATCTGCAAACTATTTCCAGGCTCAGCTGTACTTTGTGTCAACTGCTAACTAGCACACGATAGCATGTTGACAGACTAAACTTGGCATGTTGAACACAATGAACATACCCGCTATAAAACAGTATGTTAGCGTTGTTAGAGCATGCTAACATAAGGTGAGCCTCACAGAGCTGCTAGCTTAACTGTAGATTCGAAGTCCTGCTAATACGACCACCAGGTGGTGCTAATGTCAGATATCCAAATATTTCACATTTGGTGGCTTTCAAGAAAATAGCAAACAATTTCTATCAGGACCAACAAAGCACTGATTTAAATAATCTTCAGCTCAAACGTTGGCACTCACACACATTGCTATATTCACACATCACTGCAAGCAACAAATCGAGCTTGAAAAAGATTGGACCGTGGGGAGCGTAGTTTTCGTTGACAAATGCAAATTTGACTGTATGCACGTTTTAAAAACGTGTAAAAACTTAAGATGTCATTGAGCGCTGCTTTGAGGCAGGGTTCCTGGTCCAGAAAGGAGCGGCTGCAGCTTGTAGAGCTGTTGTGTCTCATTTGAACAAGCACAGACACTCCTATAAATAATTCAATGTAGGAGCGGTGTCTGAGTATCCACCAGGGCGGACTGTTTGATATTTCATTCGGTGTCAAAAGGCTAAGTCTGATTTTATACCGATATTCTCCTGTTAGCCAGTGGGATGATCAAGTGTGTATCTGCGGGTCCAAGGTTCAGTTCTTTGAAGGAGGTAAAGCCTTTCATATTAAGTGATCTCACTCTCTGATTTACAAATGATTAAATCACAAGCTCTGCTTAAAGGGCTTTCATTCGTTCCTCAAGGTAATACGTCCTGTTGTTGCTCCCGTGTTTCCACATTCAAACACCGAGGCAGCGTGAGCTGCATTATCAAGTCACAAACAGCTTTGAGAAACTGCTATTTAATTAACTGTAGGCACCTTCACTGTGCACCATCACACTTGCTCCACATGAGACTCTGTGGATAAAGGGCCCAACCATACATTATTCAAATACGGCTAAATACGGCTAAATTAGCCGTATTTGACTCACGCCTCGTACATTAGCCTCTTATCAGAAGCCACTGTTCTGTTTGCTCATTTTTGAACGCCTTACACACACAGTCGACGCGACAATATCCGAAACTTTCACAAAACACATGTCACAGGATCGTCATCGCGTCACGACAAATACGAGGCAGAGAAGAGACATGGGCGAGTAACGACCCAGAGCGATGAATTATGAATGAGGAGGGGAATACATAATTTAGCAGGATTTTGTTGCATATTTTATGGTAATCATTTCCTTTCATTTGCGAATCACAATTGCCCCACTGCGGAGCAGACATTAAACAAATCACAAAACTCCCGATGCAGCGGGGAGGCCGGATAAACTTTTTCTCAGTGCTTGATGTTTTTTAAAACTGTGTAATGTGGTGGTGTGTGTTTTCAGCCACAGGAGCAAGCACTTCACTTGAAGGTCAGCAGCTTTAATCCACTAAATGGAAACTAGGCAACAACGTGCAATAAGCTTCTTTTTATCATTTTGCTTTAATTCTTTTGGAGATTGTGTCGTCAGTTCTGTGAACTTTCACGGCTTGTTCAATTGTTTGTAAGTCGGTGTTAAAGAGCCACACACAGCACACCGATGAAGAATATTTGATTTTAATCTACCATCCTTGAGTGTCATGATGTCTTTGAGCCGTCGCTGCAGTTTCTAACCAACAACACTGACTATCATAAGATTGACATGCTTCTATGTGTTGTGTATGCAATGTGTGTCACCATGTCTGACCCTGCAGCTCCCATGCTGTGCGTACGCGGTATGTACCAACAACGTGGTTCCTCTTGCTCTTTGGTTCAGCTTAAAAGCCAAGCTGTGCCGATGGATTGGCCCTAAGTGAGGTGCTGCCATCTCCTGTTGGCCAAGAGGCGATGCATGACCACCCTGAGTGTTTTTGTGTTGCAGCCTTCATGCACCGACGTGCTCTAAATGCATGTGTTTGGTGACAAGGTGAACAAGCTTGCAGTATCACTCCTGCAGTAGGAAATTACATGTAATTTGAGAACTCTGTAATTTTCACCCAACTTGTCGCCATGCGTTTACCATTTGATTTCTGTGATGCTTCCGCAGAGCCTGTCCGACAGTGACATGAACAAGTTCAGTTTCATCCACCAACCGTAAGTAAAACGTTTACACCGCTGTCATCGCACACCTCAATCAAACCCCTTCCTGTCTTCTCGGCTCACCTCCCTCCTCCCATTGTTCTCTGACCTCCCTTTTACTTGTTGTCAAGGGAATAAAACATAGCATGCTCTTCATATCCCATGGGATAGTCAGATTATTATTATTATTATCACTACTATTTTTTTATCAAGCATAATTCTGAGTAACAGGATACTGGAGGTAAAATGTATATATAAAAACCTACATACATGACAATAAGAGGATACCTCAGGAACAAAATTACAATATGTTTAATGTGTGTGTGTGTGTGTGTGTGTGTGTGTGCCTGCGTGTGTGCATACATACGCTGACAGTTTCTTGTGTACATACAGCTGGGGGTAGTGTGTGCATGTGCAGATGTAAATGCAGAGGTCTGTCTGACTACACCTGCACATTAGTCTGCATGTTTCTTTGTTTCTTTGTTTGCGAGGTGTGTTCCTGTTACATTGAGCCCCACGCGTGTGGCTGTCACAAAAACTTGTCTGACATCAATAGAGATTAAGTGAAATTCATTTGTAATATATGTGTATGAACCCCTTGTATAACACTTTTATTTATTCTAATTTGATATACATAAGAAATTAAACTATACATTAAAAAGATATATTTTTGTGTTTGAATTTTTTTTTATTTCTATTTATAGTTAAATACAAGCTAAAATCATAAACAGATTCAAGGGCAAACTCCCCTTACACATTAATCTTTAAGTAAGCGAAGCCTTTTCTCCACCAATTACAATGAAACAATGAATTCCAAGACTATTTTAGTTTGTTTTCTATAAACAAAAAGATGAATTCAATAATTTTCATTTCAGCACTAATGGCTAATGCTTTTGCACCGATACAACTAAATTGAATATTGACAGTCCTGGGCTTCCATACTTTTCTATTTGAGTTCCTGTTTTGTATGCAGTTATTCAAACACTTGAATCAGGAAGTAACAGATCATTGCTTTTAGTACGTACTGCAGCTGCCTTTGCATAATATATACTGTTACATGCAGTATGCATTCAATTGGGACAGAGTACTTCCTCATAACATTGCACCTTGAACTTTGACCCTCTTGTTTATATATCAGCCATGCAGAGGATTGTGGGTCAGAATAACCATAAAACATGCAGGATTGCATACTGCAAAATATGACCAGATACAGGAGGACATCCTGGCATTTTTTGCATTCGGAACATACTAAATCTTTTTCTGTCATACTATATTAAATGGTATTATGTGTATTGGAACACACAGGGGGAATATCCTCATGCCCTCTTAGACAATGTAGGAAGAACTGACTTAAAATCTTCATCACAGACAGTAGGTCAGCTACTATGTCACACAGCATGTTCTACTCTCTCACAAAGCCAGGAAGAAACCAAACTTCTTAACTGGAAAACAGAAACAGTGAAGTGAAAGGAATTCAAATGTCTCAGAAGCACACGTGTCCCAAATGGTGACTAAAGACTGTCTAAAGACTTGTCGTGAGTCATACACAGCTGGTTCCTTCAAAATCCAAACCTGTCTCTCCCATGAGGACCCACGGTGACACAGTTGTCACAGACACTTTAGATATGCTGTACATTTCTTTATACAGTTTTATCCTTGATTTTAATTCCCTAAGTGACACATATACTGAACATCCTGGGGAGGTCATGTGACAGTGAGTCAATTTGTGTACCAATGACATCACTTCCAAAATGGCTGCCTGGCTTAGTCAGCACATTTGGCAGAACTAGCAAAATTTCAAAAAGCTTGTTTTTGTTGCTCAAGGTAAGTTTCAACACGTTTAACAATTCTAATGCTTTGATAACAAGTCCTACATTACATCTAAACTGTTCTAACCGTATTTCACAAACAAATTGTTATCTAAAAAGTTATGAAAATATCGTTGTGACAGATATGTCACATCAGGCTTTTAAACTTGTAATTGTCTCAGAAAAACCAATGTGACATATTTGTCACAATAACAAAAATAGTAATGAGCTGTCCGTCCCCATCTTAGCTCTTTGCAACCAGAAGTGACACAAGTGGGTGGAGCTAAGTACAACCGAACGCTGTATAAGACATTTTTAGGCGACCAAAAAGGTTCAATTTAAATTTCATGACCTGTAAACACACTGTGAAAGGGTTAAAGTTATAAGATGAAAGCAACTCCCATACCGGAGAACGGTGTGGTAGAGACCTGTCAATCACAAGGTAGCCCCGCCCTAAAGCATACCCTGCTTTATGGTCTATTTGGCTCTAAATGGATCATAATTTACTAAATGAACATCATGCTGTATTGAAGAAGACTTGAAGCGATTAAGACCATAAACTCATGTTTACAATGTTTACTGAGGTAATAAATCAAGTGAGAAGTAGAGTCTTTTATTAATTATTAATTCGACTTTACAACTACACAATCAGACTTCTTTTTACGAGCAAAAGAGTCGCCCCCTGATGACCATTAGAAAAAAAAGTTTAAGGCACATCGGCTTCACTTTCCAGACCCGGGGGTATTGTGTGTGAAATAGCAGAGAGTGCTTGGGTGACCATTGTGACCAAAATTTTAAATATGCCCATATTAATCTGAAGGCCACATCCAGTGATCTCATTCAGGTGATGCATGTATACCGTTAACTATTATCAGCAATTGAGATTGGAAGGAAGTGGAATTGAAGAGGGTCAGAAGAGATGTGATGCAACAGGTTTGTTCATTGAAATCTGTTGTTGAGTATGTGTGTGTGTTTGTGTGCGTGCGTGCGTGCGTGCGTGCGTATGTGTGTGTGTGTGTGTGTGTGTGTGTGTGTGTGCGCGCGTGGGTGCGTTTGTGTGAGAGTGAGAGACGGGGAGTGGAAAAGAGAAGTGATGTTTTTCCTGCAGAGGCTGGTCAGAATTGAACTCCCTCCTCCCCTCTATGACAAAGACGTGACTCGAAGACAGTTACTGTCACATTGGTGCAAACACTCTGGCAGCGCACAGTTAATTCAGGAGAGGACTCAAAGATGCTAAACATGAATATGGATACGTTAAGTAAACTCGCTGCTCCTGCCACGGAAAAGATTCGGTAAGGAGTTCAGTTGTATTTGATATTTTGCTCTTAAGTGGCAATGACACAATTGACCTTATAATTAATGCTTCTTAATATACATA